TAAAAAAAGGGCAGAAGTATAATTTATGTAAAAAAAGCAGAGATAGTAATCATGATCTCAAACAAAATTAAAGTTAAAATAGATTTAATCAAAAGTGAAAAATAGAGAAACTACATTATAGATCAGCAATATTATTCAGTATTGTTTTAGACCATTTAAAATAATTAGACAGTGCAAAATACCTGACTGTATACCTGCCAAAACGGAGTACTATATAAGTATAAAACACTTTTTATACAAATAAACTCAGATCTAAATAATTGAAGTAGTATTTATTGTCTGTGGGTAGGTAAAGCCAATATAATTTTTAAAATTACAATTTTAACCTAATCTATTTATTCAATGTCATCCCAATTAAATTACTAAAAAATTATTTTACTGTATTAGAAAAAATAATAAAATTCATTTGGAAGAACAGAAGGTCAGGAACTTCAAAGAAATCAGGGGAAAAAAATGTAAAAGAGGTAGATTCAGCAGTATCAGACCTTAAATTATATTATGAGGTGAGAGCATTGTTAAAGTGTAAAAAGAATTTTGATTATTTTAAATGTAAATTTTCTTGTGTAAATAAAACCTATGTAGCCAAGAATAGAAGGAATATAGAAGACAGTCTCTTAGGATGTGATTGAATTGGAATATTGCTGTGGTATAGGAAATGATGAGCTGGTTGAATTAGAAAAACATGGAAAGACTTGGACTTATGAAGCAAGATGCTATCCCCCTTCAGAGAAATAGATAATAGGAGGAAATAAGCATAGTATGGTCTTACATATGTGTATATATGTTGATAGATATCTCGTGTGTGTGTGTGTGTGTGCATGTATGTGTGTGTGTGTGTATCCATGCTTAATTGTAGCCTTCTCTAGGGATGTGGGGGCAGAAAAAGGAAAAAATAAAGTAAAAAGTGTACAGCAGAGAACAAAAGAAAATCAACAAGGAAACAAAAGCTGGGCAGCTTTGAAAACAATTTATTGTATTTATTATATAGATTGTCTTGAGATGCAAATTTATTGTTTTATTTTGAATCCTCTCTTATGGTCTGCTGTGTACGTGGCAGTTTTTATTTTTCTTTCCTCATTTTGTATTTGTTTAAAATTTTTAAAAAATGACAAATAAACCAAATTATAACAAATGCTGTTCTCCTCAGCGCATCTATGTAAAGACAGAGAAATTTTGAAACAACTTTATATATTTGTAAGCTACTGGATATTTCTTTTTTCTGTGGTGTCCTGCACTGCCCTGTGAGTTTTTAGGGCTTTTTTCTATAGCTCTTTTTTGTACCTTAAGACTGAGAAACAAGAGTTTTATAGTCAAAATTAATTGCTGTGTTGATTTTATTTAATTTCTTTAAATTTGCTATATGTCAATATGATTATTGCTGTAACATTTTATTTCAGTTTTTGGCAAGCAGAAGTTATAAAAAAACCACATTGACCGAAGAATTAATACTTCGCTATTTACCAGAAGAGTTATCCGACAGAAAAAAAGTTTATGATGATGAAATGAAGGAGTTATCAAAGTAAGTACTGTGTATGTGTTATGTCTTATTGAGATGACAGAAAATACATTTTTGTTAATTTCATAATCTCACAAAAATATTTTTAAATGTAGCAAAGAAAATGAGATTCTAAATTGGAGATTTAGTTATAAATCTGATAAAGCAGATTTGTTTATGTTATAATTGGGTATGGAAGAACTCTGATGTTGGTTTACTTTTAATATAAGGTGTTATTGCCTCTGAAATCTCAGCACCTTTCCATTCTTTCTTACTATTACTGTAAACTACATAGTAGTACTTAAGTCATTATGAAAATCTTATCCTAGTTGCCTTCTCAAACTTCTCAGGTAAACTAATGTAACAATTTATGATTTATATAGCCAGGAAATTGTTCCTCTTCACCATTAAATAAAATGGGATTTGGTGGAAGGCCCAGTTGAACAGAGAACCTCACATTTACTTAAGCCTTAAGATTTTGACCTTGCTCACTGAATCAACCATGCAGTTGTCAGTATTTTTTAAAATTCTGTATTATTTCAGTTATCAATATATATACACATTTTAATATGTAAAAAATTAAAAAAACTGAACTGATGTGGGTTTTTTAAGTGTTTATTAAATTTAACAAGGTAGTAACACCATTACCCATTTATTTATGTTCCCTTGCAAACTTTGTTTTATTCTGTATATTTTAAAATGTTTTACTGATGCTTTTTTCTTTTTAGACATTTTAGGTTTTTTTACTATCAACACATGCAAAATCACCCCCCCCATAGAATCCTTCCCTTACAGCCTACAAGTGCAGCCAAGCAATATAAATCAATAACATTAGCTATAGCCAAAAACACATATTTCATCACCATTTTACCAAGAGTGAGAGGCAGGCTTCATTATCAGTTTTCTGAAGTTGTAAATGATCACTGCTTTGATCAAATTCAGAAGTCCTTAAAAGTTATTTTGCTTTACATTATGGTAGTCATCTTGTAAATTGTTTTCTTGGTCCTATTTCACCATGTCGCATCATTTCATATTAGTCTTTTCAGATTTCTCTGATCTGCCATATTTATAGTTTTTTAAGGTACAATAATATTCCATTTTCTTCATATCACCCCAGTTTGTTCAGATGTCCCTTGTGGAAATATATTTTATTTCCAGTTCTTTACTACAACAAAACATGTATTGTCTGAAGCCAGGTTTCATTATTTAAATGAGAGAGTTTTAGCTTGTTTTGTAGATGCCTTATATACTATCAGTTATTCTCACCTGTGCTGAGTAGTTGAGCTTAGGAAGTGTAAGTTAAAATTTTTCATTGTTTTACAGTTTGACTAAAGATGTTCCCATCTTTGTGTGCACCATGGCCTTTCCTACAATCCCTTGTCCACTACATGTCTTTGAACCTCGATATAGGCTTATGATAAGAAGATGCATGGAAACTGGCACCAAACGGTTTGGCATGTGTTTAGCTGATGAGCTTAAAGGGTAAGAAATTAGATATTAAGGTTTTAAAAGACCCTAAAAATGAAATGAATAATCTGACATTTTCCTTAATAGTTCCATCCTTTAAGTTCTATTGCTCCATATTTGCAAATGCAGTCAATCATTAGTCTTTCATTTTGTGTGTTATCTTATTTTGTGTGATATTGTTTGAGTCTGAGACAAAGTGAAGAGAACAAGAGGTTGAAGGTGAGATAAGGTGATGGGGATTAGAAGGAGCTAATGATATGCTTATCTACTTTTAAATGTCACCTTGGTGAAATTTAGCTTTTTACATTGAATCCCTCTGCTATCCACTGAAGTTTTATTGTCTAGAAAGTTTTTTTTTTCCTTAAGCATATTATTAAGAGAGAGAGGAATAAAACTGATTAAAAAAAAATCTGAGTAGATATACGAGTATGAATTGTGGGATAGATTAATTGTGTTTGATATACTTAACAGCCAAAAATAGTCATAATGTTTATTAAATCACTAGGACTTATTTTCAATTTTAGGATTTGTCATTTAGAGACATAGAAGGAATTTTTGTCTCTTAGAATGTTTGCTTTGGTACTGAAGGATTACTTTAACCTCCCCAAGATAAAATTAAAATTTAATATAATTTATTAGACTGGCTTTATAAAGTACAAAGGCATCATTCTTTTGCCACAAAGCCCAATGACATCTAAACTAGCTGATAATATTAGACAGAAGATTTTGCTCTCATGAACTGATGTTACTTTTAAATTGTTCTTCCCAGGGCAGCTAGGTGGCGCAGTGGTTAGAGTATTGGCCCTGGATTCAGGAGCACCTGAGTTCAAATCCGGCCTCAGATACATAACACTTACTAGCTGTGTGACCTTGGGCAAGTCACTTAACCCCGTTGCCTAACCAAAAACAAACAAACAAACAAACAAAAACTAGTAAACTGTTCTTCTCCACCTCTAGACTGGCCAAGAAGTCATAGACTCCTAGACTGTTAGAACTGGAAAGGACCTTAATGATTGATGTATAATGTAAAAAGCACTAGCTTTGGAGCCAGAAGAAGCCATCTACTGCCTCTGCCCCCATCTCCCAATATGACTTGGAAAATTACCAAACCTCTTTGGAATCATTTTCTCATCTGTAAAATGAGGGGGTTTGCATGAGATGACCTTTGAAGCCCCTTTCAGCTCTGTGCACATCCTATCTAGCCAAACACCAGAGCACTAGCCCTGTTGTCTGTCCTGACCAGTAGGTACTCTCTCCATCTTTCTGGTTCTTCTCTGGCTCTGGGAGCAGTAAATTAATCAAGGGCATGGCAGCAGCTGCCCTTGGTCAGTACTCCTGATCCCACCTTCCTGCCCTAAGGGGCCTCTGCTGACCTGTTAAATATCAGCTCCTCACAGGTATGTGAGCCCATTAAGTACTAGCTCTTCACAGGTCAGGGATTTCCTCCCTTTGGTGTGTGTATCTCAGGGCCTGGCACTATGGTTGCTTACTCCCTTACCTGGTCTGACTATGCCATCTCATAAATGAGAAGATTTTACTCGCTGGTAGGCACTGGCCTCAGCCATTCCATGCCTCCCTGTCATAATTTACCAGATGGGACCACTAAGGGGCTTTTTGTAGCTTTTCCTTTACATCCTCCTACAGATATTTATTTTTGATAGGATCTTCCCTTAAAGTCTTTCTTGAGAGAGCAGTCAAGAAAAGATTGTGGCAGTTAGTAACTGGATTCCATTTGAATGCCCTAATATGGACATAGTCACTAATAACCTTCCTCAAAGACTCTAAAGCTCAGGTTTTTCTTGTTCCATGAAGTGAGTCACACCATGGAATCTCTTAGGCAACTGACTACCTTCTCCTTCCCCTCCTCATTCAGTCTCCTGTATCTTACTGAGTTCCATATGGGTCTCTCAGAAGTTATGAAGAAAGTGAAAGGGTCCTCCATGGTGAAATGCTATACCTCAGTCATACTCAAATCCCTTCTTTCTACACTGCCACCACACAAATATACTCACCTCTTGCTTAGCTCCTCCAAACCAAGAAGGCTCCTGTCACCACCACTACAAGTTTTTTGGTTTCTTCTAGGACTAGTTAGATTACATTAACTATGATAGCTACCATAGAAGATCTAGATAGCTTGAGATTCAGCTTTAGTTTCTGTTGTGTCTACCAGATTCTTCTGATCATATATAATGTTTTATATGAATAAGATGTCCAGATTTCTTATTAAGTGAAACCTAGGAAATTTTCTTAGCCTATAGTTAGCAGAAATAAGGATTGCTTAGAGTTAATGGTATTTAACTGTTAAACCTAGAAGTGATCATAAACATGTCTTGTCTAGCTCAGGGCCTTTTGGCAGCATTTGTTGGTGTTGTGTGGCCTGAGGGCATGCACAGTGCAAAGTGGGTGTGCTTTGTGTAGAGAACCAAAGCTGCAGTGAAGGTTGTGCAATGCATCATGGGCAAATGCTGCCAGAACCACCTCAGATTAATTTTTAATTAATTTTTGGTCGTTTTGAGTTTAGAAACCTTTTACTGTTGCCAGATTTTTCAGTCAGGACTCACAGTTTAAAAAGTGCTGGTCTAGCTCACAAATTTTATAAATGAGGAAATTTAAGCCACAAAGATTAAGTGATTCTCCAAAGCCACACTAATGATTAAGTTGCAAAGTCTGTGCTGCATTATACTGCTTGTCTCCTGAATCTTTGTGCTCCTATCAGTCTACTAGCTTAGTGTTTACTAGGTGCTGAGAATAGAAATACAAATAGGAAGATAGTCCCTGCCCTTAAGAACCTTACATTCTAATGGGGAAAGATAACACATAAATGGAAGCTAAAAAGTTGGGGGAGAGGGGAGTGCCTCATGTCAGGCATAGTAGAGAAAGTGCTGAAGGCAACCTGAAGAGGAAGGAGACATGGCTGGCCTGGGCACCCTCCTAAATGGAGGTTCTGGGAGTAAATACCCAATCAGAGAGAGGGGCAGGGGCCACAGGGGTAGGTGGTGCTTCCAGTGTATGCATTACATGGGAGACATCAGGGTGATGAACTTTGGGCTGGGGTCTAGGTTCACATTTTCTTTGTTGCTCCCCACCCTCACCCCTATCGTCTACACTCCACGTTATCACCATTTTGTACAAGTTGCTTAGATATTCCCATAAATGTTCATGGATAGATGCAGAATGGAGGGGGAAAAAACCCTTGTGTGTATGTTTGTATACATTATAAACACATTTTTAAAACAGTGGGACTAAAGTAATTTCAAGAAAGAGTCATGACTTTTAAGTTGGCCTAGTGTAGCAGTGGGAATAACACTGAATTTGGAGGGCACAGGAACCCAAGCTCTGCTATTCACTGTCCCATGTGACCTTGTGCAACTCACTTAGCCCTCTGGGCCTTACTCTCCTCTTCCATAAAATGAGGGAGTGTAGGATGTTGGCTTTTTTACCTTTCCCAAATCTGTGAAAATAGGATCTTTTAAGTGGATTGCATTTATCTGAAATTGATTTTTGTACTACATCTCCAGTCTAAAATTGAAACCAGCCCTTTTTCATGTTGGCATGTAGTCTGACACTTGAGTTTGGTCAAATTGAGCAAAGGGATGAGGTACTATTTTCATATAGTTCACTGACCCACAGGCATTAATTTCATTAAAAAATTATTGAAAGTACACGCGTGCACACACACACACATTTTAGCTTGTTATTTTCTTAAAAGAAATATGCATATTTAATACCTTGTATGTACAGTTTGTCTATAATGGTGCTAATTAAGGAATTCTGTTTGGCTTTACTATGTTCAGTTCAAGAATATCAGGGTGGACAACTTTACTCTGACAGAAGCTAGTTAGAATGAAACAGGAGGTAGAGAAGGCGTTGAAATCTTAATGCATAAACCCTACAAAAAGGATGGAGAGAAGAGACAGTATACAAACAAAATTTACTCAGGGTTCTTTGGAAGTTCATGAAAAAGCCTAGAATGCATATCCCTACTGTTGAACAATTGTGATGAATGACTATATGAAATATGAATTCTTCATTAAAATTGAAATTTTGCACAAACCGGATTTGGGAACTTTAAAAAATGTACATAAAAATCCTAATAATATTTGGAAGACAGTTGAAATTTTCTTATCAATATAATGTTGTAGGCTGAAGTAAGTAGAATGCACAGATTACAAGTCTGATGAAGACTCGGCATCATTCCAATCAGTCAATATCTAGAAAAGATCTCTGAGACTTAGCTGGAAAAAAGAGCCAGCAAACAATCAAGACTGTCTCCCAGATGTGTATTTACGAGCTCAGATTCACGTAGTGGAGACTATAATAAAAGAGGAAACTTTATTCAAAAACAAGAAAAAGAACAAATATTTACAAACTTTTTCTGCCAACTCTTTATATGTATTGACAAGTAGATTAACATGCCCATGGAAGATAAAACCCAGAGAGAACTAGAAGCTGTGCATAGGAAGGAAGGGTTCCATTCCAGACACATTGGCTGCTGATGCTGGGTCAGCGTCCAAAGCGAGCTGTTTATGTAAGAAGATCAAGTGAGAGGAACCAGTGCTGCCATAACAAATGAAGAGACATATGATCAGTGACTGGCAGTGTTGATTTTTACAGACTTACGCATATGTCTACATATATTCTGCTCTCTAAACATGTACATATGTGTGTAAGTATGATTGTGGCTATATATAAAATGCGTGTCAAGCTATAGATACCAATACACACACTTGTGTATATATGTACATCCATATATGTACCAAAGGGATTAGTACCTGTTCTCCAGAGTATTTTACATATCTTCAGCAAAAATGCAAAGGAAAATATTTTCATTATACATACCAGAAGCAGATTTTAATTAATTATTGCCATTAAATTAATACCATTAATGCATGAATTGATTACACTGTAATGCTTGCTAGTGTGTTTTATGAATGTCAAATTATGTACCAATATCTACTTTTTTGTTGTTCTCTTAAATTTCTGTTAAAACCTTATATTTTAGCCTCTCCCAAACTCTCAGACTCCCAAAGAAAAAATAATAATGATAATAATGATGATGATGATAATTATATTCCCTTAAAATTTCCATAGAAGTTTTAGAAATTTCAATGCTTCCTGGCAGATCTTGGCAATAATAATTTGGCAAGTTGAGTGCATTAATAATCCCAACCACTACTTTAGTTCTGAGGAGAGTTCATCTCTTAAGTTACTTTTAATTCATGTACACTATAAATCCTTAGTGTGTCACACTGTACTATGCCTGTGTTGTTAAGACAACAACAGCAACAAACCAATAACCTCTGTTTGGAGAGATTTTTCTGAGCATTTGTGACAGACTGTCACCATTCTTAACCAGTCTGCTCCTCTTGCCTATTCCTATTTCTTTTTAGGAAACTCCATACTCCATTTTAGAAATTTGTACATGCTCCTTGCTCACTCAGTTGAGACTTCCACTAGTCAATCCTTAACATCCTTCTATCTGCTTATGACCTCAGTGGCTGGAAATAAATCTTACTTAGCCAACCCACCTCCCTTCCTATAAATTTCATGCCTCTTGTCAAGGCTGATTTAGTGTGGAGGAGATGAGACCATAGCCATTTAATGCATTGAGTAGAAGGAATAATGGAAAGCTGGTAATATTGGGCCAGCTAAATCCAAGGTCAGCCTCTTAACAGAACTGTTGTTATTCCCCTTCCTCTTCCTCCTTCAGCTGCCTGAAGGATTTGGTTCCCCTGCCCCCAAATTCCCATTTTTCGTTATTTCACTTTGGGCCTTAGGCATCCCTCTTATATCTGCCTCTTAACATTCCCTGTTACTCATACATCTACCCTCATTTTGTAGCGTCTCAACTTAGCCTCAATATAATAAAGCCTATAATTTTACCTATTTCCCTGCCAGACTTGTGGAAAAACTCCAAAGTCCCTAAACTTTTGAAACAGATTGGAGCAATGTCATTCAACCACATACCAACCTTTAAATACTAACTTTCTTTGGCTTATGCCAAGCAATCAAAGAATTAGAAGAAATTGGGAAATGGTGAAAGAATTACCTGTTCACTTATTTCAAGGATCTGTAATTTTATCAGTGTGAGCGCTCTTTCCATCGATGCAGGTCACAGTGCCTCTGTAACTTAGTAGGTGGTCTCTGAAAAGTATTCTGGACAAAAATTCATCATCTATGGCTAATTTGGTGTGATAAGTGTCACTAAACTTAGCCAGGCTGATTTTTGAACAGACATACAATCCTTAACCAAGCCTGTCCTTGGCTTTTCTTGTTCAGTAGGACTTAACAGAGTTTAACCTCTACTAGAATGACCCTTGAGAATCCAGGGTGACCTCTACAGCATGATAAGTTGAATTAAGTCAACAAGCATTTATTAAGCTCTGCTATGTGCCAGGGACAGCTTGGTGGTGCAGTAGATAGAGTACCAGGCCTGAAGTCAGGAAGAACTGAGTTCAAATCCACCTTGACACTTGCTAGCTGTGTAACCCTGGGCAAGTCACTTAATCCTGTTTGCCTCAGTTTCCTCATCTGTAAAATGAGCTGGAGAAGGACATGGCAAACCACTTCAGTATCTTTGTCAAGAAAACCCCAAGTGGGGTCACACAGAGTTGGAATAGCCTGAAACGACTGAACAGCGATTTGCCAGGCATTGTACTAAGCGCTTGGATGTAAAGAAAGGTAAAAGGCAGTCCTTGCTTTCAAGAGGCTCCCAGTCCAATGGGGAAGACAACTTGTAAACAGCTGTTTCCAGACAAGATGTACGCAGGATAAATTAAATGAGACCCCAAAAGATTACTTGAACAGATTTTTTTTTTTTTTTTTATTTGCCTTATTTGTAAGGGAATCATGAAGCTGAGTAATCCCTAATACATTCTCTTAGTG